TGACTAGAACGTTGGAGTTTCTAAACACATCCATGTAGAGAGTGGTCGGATAACAAATGCTCACAGTCCTGCTTCGCGAATTCGATGGACCCACTGAAAGAGATGCCATCGGAACAAGCGAATTCCGGATGCTTTACCTTGTGTCGTAATCGATTGCTGAGGCAGGTAAGAATAACTACGCGGACCCCTTTGAATCACGAAAATTCCATGTGACCGGAATAAAGTTGTTATTGGAGATCCTCTGGCCTTCCATGGCATCGATTCGATCCTTGATGTTTGTCCTCCGACAGTGATGATCCTACTGCATCGAGCCGGCTTGACCTCTTCCGCCCAGCGGGCCAGTACGACCCCCCCCCTCTGTAGATGTGTCGAGGATTCCTCAACGCACGCTTGGCCCTGCTTGCCTTTTCGATACTCGTGTCCCAGAGTTCGGGCATATTTCCTATCGCACCAAATAGTGGTGTTATGGGAACCATTGCAGACTGGTGCAGGCAACAGACCTGGATTCCACTCGTTGTCACCCAGGTTCCGAAAGGTTTTCCCTGACTCCCGGTAGTGGATCAGCTGTCTTTTTTGCTGGTTCCATCGATGAATGCAGGACGAGGAATAGCTTTTCTTCCTGTAGCCCAATAGCTTCCATAAAGATAATAGGGCTACCGTCCTCATAAATGACTACAGTTGTTATTGTTTGTTCTTCCTAGGCGCAGCAACTGCCCGCACGAATAAATAAATAAATGAATAGTAAACACGCGAACCCAATACATACCTAGAACACAACGACCAGTGAAACAGAACAAACCGCTGCACCATAAAATCCAGACAGTTATGGCAAGTACTCGTACAGGGAGTGGGTACTCAAAGAAGGCTTAAAGAGAGGAGAAATCCGTGGGGAAAGTTGGTGTTGGCTCGGCAGCGAATGTTAAGTAGTGAGTTGGGTATTTCTGAATTTGTGCCAGTTGGTTTAAAGAAAAGATCCGGAAATCTGAGCGCGAGATGTTCGACGTACACCGCCACATAAGCTCGCCACACACTTGTATAATGGAAACCATATCACGCATTAAGAAAGTCAAATAATACAGTAAGCTAGACTATAATACAATACAATACAACAATGCATTACAATACAATACAGTATAATACAGTATACAATACACGAGAATACCTCTCATGCTACTGGACAAAGTTGTCGTAGCGCATTAGTCTCAAATTAGATTTTCCTTCGACTTGATTTTTTTCTATTGCTGAAAGGGAACAAAAATCCCCCACGACAGAAGCTCCACCTGTGCTTTCGATGTAAAAAATTTCTTATTCTACAAACCTAGATGGAACTTTTGCTGACGCGCATGTCATTGGAGGAGCATCCAAGTTAGTGAGCCAATTATTGTGCTTGGCACTGAGCCCTAGGGGGGAAGGGGACTCTGGGGAGCATGTGAGCATTGTGTTCTCCCTGGCGTTTCTCCCCTTTGCTGGGCTTAGTCCTAGTCTCACCTACCATCGACTCTATTTTGGATGTCCCCGCCCCCTCCCCTCTCCAAGGAAACGAGCGCTCTTGTGCTGATAAGACGCTGGAATGCCACGACTTATTAATGATTACACCTTTATTTTGCTTTCGTTTTCACCCGTTTGTAGCTTTTTAGCTTTTAGCTGAAATATCCCATCTCACGATAGCGAAACGTATTTATTACGATATCAGCGTTTTTCACCATCGGAGTGCGGAAAATGCCGTAATCACGGAACCTGTCCAACACGTTGTCGTTTCTTTCAGCCTTTTGCTGCAGAAAGTGTTCTGATTCGTGCTTATAGCAAACAAATTCATCAATCTTACATGATGGCTGGAAAAAAGTAGACAGGAACCGAAGTCGCCAGACAGATTTCGCTTAGGCAGCTTAGTTTAGCTCCCTAGCTAAAGGACCGGATATTAGGCTTCGAAACCTGCCGAAAAATACGGTAGATTCGATGTTGCATCTCTCTACTCCTCCATATGTCCTGTCTTGCCTTCAAACGGTAGAACGCTTTTCAGTGAACATTGATTGCACTGCCAATGCTAAAGCAAGGGGTCTTAATAAACCGACAATGTAACCTCTCCGACAAGGATCTCAGTTTAGAAAACGGTTTGCTTTCAGAGAATTCTCATAGCGGAAGTCTCTCAGTCCCCTGTAATCTGTGAATGAGACGCCTTCACCACAGAAGGTAGCTATTGAAGGGTAGTAGTGGGGGGGGGGCAAAAGGAGTAACGTAAGAGTTGAAGGCAATTTTTGCCTGTGAGTATTTTTGATTCCTTTCCATTCAAGCCCCAATCAAAAATCTATGTACTGTATGTGTCAACACGTTCACAACAACGAGATGAGCACAACCCTCGCACTTTAGGGCTGGCGAGGGACGGTGCGGCATGCGTCGCACTCATGTCGTCTATTTTGGTACATGTGCGAAATTTCCTGATTTTTCTCCGCATTAAATCTATAGTTCACATCATAGCATAGTATTAATTATAGTATTAACGACCTGGCTCAGACAATGAATATGTTCTAGATTAGCAGATATTTTCCAAGCCTAACAATATTACCAAAGCAGTCCAGTCCTCATTTTCTTTTCACTGATAGAAAGTAATTGATAAAAATAAGTATTAGAAGTATGATCCCCCCTTCCCCCCCCTCATGGCCAAAACTCTCCTCCGTTCGAATATTAAGACCTTCCCGAAGCCACATCTCATGATGTGCACTTTTTTTATTGTTGCCGTTTTAATATGGCGCAAAAGTACGCGGATAAAAGTGATGCAAGTGCCGTTCCCGACGGCGATGGAACTGAACCGGTTCCTCGAGGCGAGACTACAGTCGATCTTCATGTTTTGCTGCAATCGGTACGGCGCTCTGCGGGATATTCCATTATACTGATGTTCCTTGGCATTCTGGCATGTTCTGACTTCTCTTCAAGCTTATTTCATTGTCTATGTAGGCCAAAAAGTTCAAGCTGTCACGGCCGCGATTTCAGCTTTTTGGGAGTGGCTTCTTCCTTCCTCACAAACTGCTCTCGACGTTAACTAGAGTGGTTCTTGAAATTTTGGGGGAAATGGTGAAGTGCTTGTCATGTTTCTCATTTTATAAAGCCAATTTTTAAATCTTGCGCATATTAATTATATTTCAATGGTATATATATTCTTTATTTATTTATTAAATCAAAATGTTGAATTTGTTTCAGTTTTTCCCAGATGCTTGCCAGGATGCATGCGCGCACTCGCCGTAAAGGCATGATAATTCTGAGCAGTGTATTCGTCTAGTAATGTATTTGTATCCTGAACAAGTCCTCAGGCCACCTTCGCCGAAATGATACCGTTACCCACGCGGACAGTTCAGAGTAAATGTACCGAGCCCGGTGTCTTTCACAGACAGCAAGCCTTCCCATCCCTCAAGGAGTCGCCTGGGGAATCAAAGTCAACAGCACATCGGGTGGCCTCTAAAGACAAGGATGTCCATAATCACGACCACACTGTTTCCAGTTCGCAAACCACTTCTTACTGTCATTAATAATTTTGTAGCAAAGTAGATGCAGGCGCCATTCCACGAAGGTTTTGAATGCCGAATGTTCTTTTCTTCTTTAGTCCTTTTGTCATTTGAACCTACTCTGTAGAATGATTTCTGGTCAAAACCAAGAAAGAGTGCACCCCAGCCAGCCACTTTCCTGCGTTGTGCTACTCTTATAACTGACATTGATCTCGGCCGGGATATCGATAGTGCCGGCAACAGTTGAAGCAGTGATTGGCCCGATCGGTCCAGCATGAAAGCAAGTTGCGTAATCTGTCATCGAGACGTGGTCATCGGAGTGTTTCATTCTTCGGGCGACAAGATCTCTTTAACAGGGAATCAAGCGCACGATTAGGCTTTGTCTTCGTTTGTTGCGCGCAGCGACGTCAGGTTTCGGCCTCGGGTAAGAGTCACATTGCGTAACGTGGTCACCACGCCCAGCTCCAGTACGGTCTCCTTCTCATTTAAAGTTGTATGTGATCCGGAGCGGCCACTTTTAACCCATAGTTTTTGAAATTTTTGATCTCCATTTATCGTAGTTATATGAATTTGGTTCATTACAAAGTATACCTGCAGCTTTTCTGTATGGTTGAAGATCATGCTTGTACTATTTTGCCTTTCTCATAGAAGGAAAAGAACTCTCTGGTTAGACTTGGGATACGCCGTGAGTTAGACTTCCCTCCAAGTCGTAAGTTATACATTGTCGTTTAAATCGCTTCGTAGAGAATTGCAGAAGTTGGCTGATGATGAATTTATCACTTCTTTCTTCCCATACAGTTGTGAAGTGGAATAATGGCCCTCAGGTCAGGATTCAGATGACATCGAAGAGGTTCCATCCAGGGTCAACCGTCACTTTTGCACATTTTTAGAAAATTTTGCGATCCTCACCACCAGCATCAGTCTTGGAAGGTTCCCCCAATACGATCCCCCTTCCCCTTCTCCGACCACCATCCTCACCATCATGGCTGTTTCTATGGTATTTGATTCTGAGACCAGTCGACACAGTCCAACTCCGCCCACTTTTCCTCCAAAACGTGCTAGGGGGAGGGGCAGTTGGAGTTGTGAAATGGCAAATCCACCAATGTTGCCTTACTTCTCACAACCTTCATAAAACCTTTACGAAATTCGCCAAAAACCCGTCCAACCCCTCTCAAGCACAAGCCCTCTTAACGACCTCCGTCAACCTCCATTCCTACTTTGATAAAAGTGCTCAACCCCAAAACGCCCTTTCCGAAATTACAAATGCGACCCCCTCGACCGAACCGCCTCAATCGTTCATCCTCAACATCGTTTCAAACTCTGAGGGTTTCATAAACCTACTTTGTGCTCTCTTATGAAAACCATTTCTCTGTCGAAACATTGTTGCCTTTTAATCTTTCCTTAGTTTCATCAGCACGTTTCTTTGTCCTCGTTTTCATTGGCGTTTTGTCGTTAATTTTTTATGTATGGTTTGTTGGGTCATACTTTTACTTTGAGCAGATGCGGTTACTGGTCTACGCTACGCTTGTGCCGTTGGTCATCGCCACCATTACACCACCGACATCACGAGGACTTGCTCCGGAAGACTCTGATCTGCTGTCACAATCATCAACCACTTGGAGCAGCGTAAAGGTGATACCTAATGCTATCTTCTGAATCATGAATCGCTTTAGCGAAATAGCCAAGAATTACGAACATAGCATGATCATTGTCAGAATCAAGGAGTAGAGATTGAATGAAGCTAATGGTTAGAGGAATGATGCACGGAACTGCATAATATTTGTCTTCCATTAACTCGTGACTTGAAATCCATTTCTTGCGAAAAGAACGAAAGTAGGGGAAAATTGGGTTTGTTTCGCCAAAAATTGACTCACCATAAAGACCAATACTCGCCCAAAATCGCGGTGATGAATCCAATTGTTTCTTGCGGCACCGTCTCTTTTGGTCTACTCACCTATGGCACGAACGTTCTGCTCGCCTTCGCATTCTAACCTCTTCTTAAAGGCAAACCCCGGGATTAGCCCGACTTGTGGGAAGGATACCGCGAGGGAAATTGTAAGGTCCCTACCTACCTAGATCACTCCAGCTTCGCCGCAAAAATTGCGCGGTTAGGGCGCTAATCCTTACGGGCCTGCAACCATCGACCCCCGTTGCAACGCTTCCCACCCACCTCGATATCGGCGTGCTCTCTCGAACGGCGTGATCTCTCGCGTGTTTTGTCTTCTTTGACCGCCCTGCCTCGCCATCGTTCCACATCCGACCTTTTTGAAGGTTAAGGCCTTAATTTCAGCGATCCCAAAGATTTCTTGCTTTCCTTTCCACTTTCAGGCCGCCCGCAGCTCAGTCATCACTACGAAGCGCTCTTATCACCAGTTTTATCCCGGGCTTGCCTTTGAGCGTTATTTCTCTCCGTTTTCAATTTTTGAAGTTTGAATCCAATTCATTCCTGCACTGCATCAGCTGATATTGGACAGCCCTATCACTTAGCTCTGCCCACAGAGGGTGGTCTTCGAATGGCCTGTTTCTTTACGGGAACTGAATTTTCATACACGACATTCTGTGTGCGCAACAAGTCATCACATACCATAGGGAAGTGATAAAGCATTTTCTCGTGTTCGATTCCTTTTAAGCAACAACCCCAGATCAAATTGGTGACAGTGGTCGAAATTAACGAAATTATACGTGCCTAGTTCATCCAAAACCAAAAAAGGTATACAGGGCCATTAATAAGTACTTGTTCTCTTTCACCTCGAAAGGAGGGAGAGGCACGTGTGGACGAGTTGTTTGTTTTTGCTTGCTCCGCGGCTCCAGTTACCCACGCGTATTACGCGTATTTGTGTCAGCCGCTACGCCAAGATGCCACGTTGCGTATCACGGGGTGCGCGCGAGGTATCTCGTCCATAAGTAAGGTCCCTAGTTCACATTAGTTACCATCGACTCTCTTAACACGTTGACGACATCGCGCGTTTTGTGCTTTTGCACCGCGTGGGACAGAGCGATTTTGCGAGCGCAGCCGCCGCACACCAAATCCATGGATTTTAAGTTGTAAATCCGCAATACTTAGATGCGATGAAATGTTTTCAATGATGTTCGATCGTCTAGCTTATCAGGAGTTACAGTAATGGAAGTTTGACCGAAATGACGTGTTAAGGCCATGAAAAGGGAAATTTTACTTAATTTCCCTTTAGTGGTTCCAAAATTAATTTGGACGTGGTTGTTTCAGTAAAAACACATATCTTCCCATACGAATAGGTTTGTATTCACTTCTATTATTCCTTTTTATCAACATGTTACGTTAATGAAAAGAAAACGAGGAATGAATTGAACAGACATATCCGTAAGGTCTGGAAAACCTCTGCCAAACTAAAGAATATTTGGCCTTTCTGTGAGCCATGTGGTTTTTAAGTATGCTAATGTATGGCCTATAGAATGAGTACAAAGACCTTAGGAATAAGTCGCAAGCGCAAGAAAAAGGGATGACTTGGGTGGGACGCGTTACCGCGTCACAATGTCCCACGAGGTGCGCAAAGTGGGACGCGTTACCGCGTCACGCTGTCGTCAACGTGTTAAAAGCCCCTAGCGCCACTGTTGTGCACTTTCGAGTCGCGACAACGGCACATTTGTGGATACCGTGGAGGCTCGAGAGTCTCACAGAATAGGCTGTTCGACACCTTCATCAGGAGTTTCTGCGTCGACCATTGTGCCCAGTAATGCACTGATTGTACACCACTACCGCACTGGGGCGGATGTCATCAGTTTGCGAATCGAGTGCCGATTCGCAACTCGATTCGGCAGGAAGCGCGCCACTTAAAACAGTGTCCACTGTCAAGTCCCGCCACTTTCAAAAGCGTCCACTGTCACGTGACACTGTTTGAAAGTGGCGGCTTCCTTTGAACGTTGGGTCCCGCCACTATTGAGTCGCTGGTACCTAGTTCGACTCGCTGGTACAAAGTTCGACTCGCTGGTGCAAAGTTCGATTCGCTGGCGCAACGCTCGGATCCAGCGATTCGCAAACTATGACGTCGGCCGGATCGAGATCGACACTTCGGCTTGGATTTACTCAGCCAACCGACGAATACAAGAGTTTATTTTCCTTTTTCGTATTCATCTTGTAAATGTTCGAAAGGGTAGCTACATATTTATAAGTATTCACTGAAGTATTAGTAGACTCTAAGTAACTGACATGTTAATAAGGCCAGAAGCTGCGAGACAGACAAAGTACGGCGGCGGCTCGCTATAGGTTGGAAAGGGATACCACGGTTCTACAGCCTTTGCTTCTTCCTTAAATTCCTTTCTTCAAAACTCGTCTTTTAAATCGATTTACACCAAGAATTCCATTCATAATTTAGCAATTATGGTTTCATAGCTAAAAATAACATTCACGGTAAGCCGCGCGGTTTTATCAATCTTTCACCCTTTCTGAAAAATGTTAATTGTGTAGTACGCTAATCTACAAAAATGTTCATAACGGTCGACGATGGAGAATTCAAGTGATGTATGTTTAGCCTCGAGCCAATGGTGTGCCACAAAACGAGGTGACCAGCATAGCAGAGGAAAAATCCGGCTGGACAACCGATGACTACAGTGATTTTGCCAAAGAACCTATTCGAAATGGCGGAGGTAAGCCCTGACTGGTGAAGTTCTGACCTTGCCTTGCTATATCATGGGCGCTTTATTTCGTGTTGATGTTGACAATTTCTTGATTACGGGGCCTTTCCCGTACTTGGCATGTAGCGTGTTTTATAAATTCGATAACAGTTAAATCGCATTCGGCGCAAAATACAATAGTTCTATATAACCAAAATGCTCAGTATAGGCCTGAACCGAGGGTTTCAGCAGGCTCCGTTAGATGAAAATAATAGTTGAAAGGGTCAATGAAACGTGAATGATCTGCCATCACCCCTCTATCAGGGTAGTTTCTCCGACCCTCTTGCCCCAATAAAACTATTCAGATGGCTAAACCGGCTTTCCTCCTCCGGCGTTAGTTAGTTGGCACTGGATTTGAACGATGAAAACACTGACTTCGCTTTGACAGGATTGATCAGCACCAAAACAACTCTAGCATTTTTTATGAAGACGGTCCTTTACCATTTCATTAATTTTCACGCACAAATGGCTTGGCGTTTATATCCATATCAATCAACTATGGTATTCGTTTAGCTAATCGTAACCTCAAACCCCGTCACATATCGCCCGATTCCGAAAACGTACGAAATACCGTCGCCCGAACCAGAAACGGAAATAGCAGGTATGCACTTCTTCTGCTCGTTGCTCCTAATTGAAACGCCTGCATTGTATGTAAAATTACGTTTTTCACGACCAATCAAGGTTGTATAGTGGAACCTTCATTGGAGCTTTTTCTAGGAGATCCAATACAGGTACCATCCTCAACATCGTATTAGCATGAAAGGAAACTCATTTCGACTTTTTCTCATGCTCAAAATTGGCTTTGTATTGCTACTACATATACAGTACCCTACCGTACTCTCGTTTTTAGTGCCTGCACGTCCTGCAGTGCCCACGCAAACTCGCTTTCTGGTACAACAGCCACAACCGCAACAACAACAGCTCTACGTTGTTCAGCAACCAGCACAACCGGTGAGTGTACTGTGCTTTTCAAACCCCTTCAAATAGCCCTATTTATTCACGAAAATACATTGGTATTACTGAATACTTGTCGATAAAGGAATCTACTCTCCTTTACAGTATTTGCGAAAAGGCTACTACTATCAGCACTATCCGTACTATAATCTACCTCGACAGTATCGTCTACGACCTCGATACGAATACGCATATCCTCCTCAGTACCAGAATGTTCAATACACCTATTATCAGCCGCTGCTTCCCAAGGTGCGCAAGGATTTTCAGAAGTTCTAAGAAAGAAACTGTTCAACGTTTTAATGTCCTTTTTACCATAAGGTAGGTTTCTTACGCACCTTTTTGTAGCAAAGTTCTTCACGAATATTTTAGTATGCTCAGAGTCGGGGAACTATTTTACTCGCACTCTTGCCGAATATCTATCAAGTTCCGCTGATTATTGTCTACAACTTCATGCACATGTCGAAATGTAAACCCTCCCCTTCAAAAAGCGAGAAAGTGTCGGGTGCAGACCAAACACCACAACTGACGACGGCCTCCAAGTAAATCTGGTTAGAAGTTGTTCATAGTGATAGCTGATTTCTGGTAAATGATAGTTGTAATTAGTGACAATCGATAGAATACAACTGCAACAGGCTAATCATTTCATTGGCAGAAAACATTAACATTTTGTGAAGGCCGTCGTCACTTGTGGTGCATGGTCTGCACCCGACAACACTTTCGCGCTTTTTGAAGGATAGGCACAGTAGTTTGGAAAAATGGACTCAAGGAAAAGCTATGAAAAGAATAGTTTGCCGATCGTAGATACAAAAAGTGTCGCCGCAGGCGAATTCGATCTGTAAGATGAGGGGGGTCGTGGATGGCATTTCGCTGGCCAACTACCCCAACCTAACGGAATTGGTAGAAGAGAGCTGGGTGAAAACTAGTAGAAAAAGTGGGTGCAGGTCTGGTAAGCCAGAAAAGGTGACAAGACCAAATTTTTCTCGAATTGAGCAACAGTGGCAGTGCTGCAGTGGTCGGCATGAACTGCCATTTGAACCTCTTCTGCGCAAAAAATCTACATTTTTCTGGATCGTAGTGCAACTGTCGCCGACAAGTGGATCCTGCACGACCAAAATAGAACATAAGCTCAATGATTATACCGCAATAAATCTTCCACCACTTTGCCATTCCGGAAATGTACCGAAAGACTGGCGGTGCGGTGGTTTGCTACAGCTCACGCTAGACCCACCTTTAAACACCCGTAAAATCACAACGGAGTGGCACTCAGCACTAGGGCCACGATGCATCCTACAGGGAATACTCGCAGGCCAGCGGTCTGTGTGAAGCTTCCATCGATCTGTAGAGTGGACCCCTAGAGATATAATATGTGGCTTCCTTGCATGGACCCAACGAAAGTAGCGGCTGAGCTTGCAAAGCTAGCTCTGGAAGCTGCAAGTTTTTTTTTCTCTAATCGGCTGTTGTCTGGCGCTCTCTCATCTGTAGTGCTCTCTCGCCTCATACTCTCCTCTTCCGCGCTTAGTCTCTCGTTCCTTTAGCACAGCCAATTAGGAAGGTGAGTGAGCCCTCAACCTGAGCGTTTTCGACGGATTCTTTTCCTTTTTTCTTCACTGCCGGCCCACTTGGCACCGATACATTCACATTCGTGTGCAAGAGCCACACCAGTGCGATCCTGGGGCATGCCTTTAAACTCCAACCGTTGAAAAAATATCATTTTACAATAATATACAAATAATACATAAAAAGAAATAAGGATAAAAATAAAGGATAAAGCATTTGCCGTTGATCAATCCCTTTTTGGGATGCGGCACGCATTCTACTTCCATTTGTACATTCGCAGTGGCGTTTGAATGCGATGTGGCCTATACAATGACTTGCGGGGGCCAGCCGATGTACAAGTCAGTGTTTTTATCCTCCCAGACAAGTCTGGTACCAATTAACCGACCCCGGAGGGATGGAAGGCTTGGTTGGCCCGGGCGACTCACGACCCAGGATTTGATCCCCGGACCGCTCGCGTGGTGAGCGCGCCACTTGTCACTACACCACTTCCGCCCTAAAATTTTAAAGGAAAAAAATATTTTTAGAATCTGCGCGCTGAACCTTGATTTAGGATTTCAAGTATAGCATCAGTATGCTACTAATTACTTTTCAGAGAAATGAGCAAAACTAATCGAAAGACCCTTTGTTCACTATGAGCTGCAATAATTGTTTATTCCTATATTTAGTAATGAAAAAGGATCTAGAAGACGAAATTATGCAGTTGAAAGTTTTCAGATCACTACAATATCTATCGCAGTGATCCACGATTCAATCCAGCTATAATGACAGGATGCGGAGGTTCGCCCTGTGGAGGTACGATATCGCATCAAGGTCTTAATCAGCATCGCCCTTCTTTCTTTCGAGACAAATCGTATAATTACTGATAGGCCATCTCGGTTTGCGCCATGCGTCTGACACTTATGACAGTCCTCAGGCGTATGAGTGCGAGGAGAGCAGTAGATGTTTGGCTCTATGTAGCTGTCTCCCTTAGTAGGCCTAAACCTGCACAAAATATCCCTGCCGACTACAAGATTAGAGTGCTCAGAACGTGGGTATACCTTACTACGGTGGGTAATATGCTGGTTAGAATTTGCGCCGTTAGTGTGTGCTTCGTAGCATTCCTCTCGGTTTTGAGCTTCATAAATCGCGATAAAGACAGCAATGACACTCACGACAACCCCCAGAAGTACGAGCGCAGAGAGTGCAGTGGATCAGCTGTAAACTTGAATTGTAAGCCGAGAAACTCTGCGAGATGTAAGTACATAGATGATCTTGAGAATACCACGGGTTAAATACGAGTGTCACTCTTGGCTCTGAGCTCCGCAGGGTTGTCGCGCGGCTTACTAACGAGAACAATCTCGTTTCTTATACCTCAATACCTGAACCCGCTAGACTTTTTTTTATGTGATCTAATTTGTTAGGAGGAGGCAGAGTAGCGAAAAGAAGCACTGCCATACACCCATGGTCCATGAATAAAGCCTCAAGCCTTCTTACACTCGCACTAATGCACTTCCAAGAGCCAGGCCTTCCGCGCCTCCAGGGTTGTTTGCTTGGTGGATTTATCTAGGAGAATACATTGTATTATATATAAGCCGAATTATATAGTTGGAGATTCAGTGAATAGAACAGTGACGCAATCAAGTACCTTGCGATTTTGAGTTGCGACTGAATGTATGGCTTATCCCTGGAAAATAATGCTGCGCATGCAACTAATCCTTATCCAAGGCCCAGAAACTTCATGTTAAAGTCAGTTTTTAGGATGTGGAGGCGGATGCGGATGCAATGGTGGCGGTGGCTGTGGATGCAATGGTGGAGGTGGTAAGTAGGGAAACATAAATAAATTTCCTTGAAAAAATGTGATTTTCTACAAATCAGGCTGTGGCAATGACGAATACGATGAGGAGTCTGAGACAGAAGAAGAAGAAGAAGACGAGGAGGAGAACGGTAACGGTCGACGCTCAGGTATGTAATTTGAAGTACTACCTGAAAACATTTCGGCCAAGCATGGTTTGATTCCAGGAGAGGCTCGAGTCAACAAGAAAGATCCACTGGACGATATTGATTTGGAAACCTTGGAAAAGCTCGGAAAATGTATGTAATCCTGCTATTTCAATCCTTAAAAAACTAAGAAATAAGAGATAGTCAAATTTATTAACCAATCAAACAACGTCAAGCGTATTTTTCATCCAGAAAAGTACCCTCCCTTCAAAAAGCGAGAAAGTGTCGGGTGCAGACCATGCACCACAAGTGACGACGGCCTTCACAAAATGTTAATGTTTTCTGCCAATGAAATGATTAGCCTGTTGCAGTTGTATTCTATCGATTGTCACTAATTACAACTATCATTTACCAGAAATCAGCTATCACTATGAACAACTTCTAACCAGATTTACTTGGAGGCCGTCGTCAGTTGTGGTGTTTGTTCTGCACCTGACACTTTCTCGCTTTTTGAAGGGGAGGTTACACTAACCGGCTCAGAGAAAAAATTCTGTTAATTCTGATCCTGGAGCTAGATCATACATATTAAAAACTTACCATGGGCGAGATAAAGGCATCACTCCACTTAAACCGTGCCCTTATCGTTAGTCTCTGTGAAATACCCCTAAAAATGTTTCTAACGGACGCTTATTAACTACTATTGGGTTTATAGAGGGGTTCCCATGAACGCATCTGAGCTGTTCAATCTTGTCTGATCTCCAAGGTTCAGTGAGCGAGAAAAGCGTGCCACATTTTCGCATGTGATTACTTCCTTTGCTCATTGTTTTCCCTTTTTTCCAGCTCCATCCGTGGAACGGAGACGAAAAATCACGAAGACGGTCGAAGAAGCGTAGAACAGCATAACTTCAAGCGAGCCGGTGCCGATGTATACAGCTTTCTTGTACATATGAATAAAATTTTATTTCAACCGAAAGGAATTTCTTACTTGCGAAGTTCGTATAACTGTTGATGTTTGCATAGTTTCTTCTTGATCACTGTTTTCATTCTTATATACATGACGTTTGGCATCTGATGGGAGACGTTTGTCGATGAAAATTAATATGAAAGGGCTAAGGAATGTTCCTATCGACGGATATTTTACATGGGCCCAAATATCTAGCATGAGAGTACGAAATTGATTAGGTGTTAGGTGCGCGGCGCAGACGAGGAACGTTTTTGACGTCAGACACTTCATAT